TGTTATGTAACTTCTAATTGAGTTGTTTTCCAAAAGTTGATTTGTAAGGCAGGTATTTTAGAATTATAATGGGTATGATAAAATGTCTGTACAGTAAGATTGCCTTCACTTTTACATTTCTGCTTAAGATACCAGTTACTCCAGCCATTAAAATCCTCTCACTCCCTTTTCTTCTTCCTATCCCTACAGGCAGTTAAGATAGAGAAGCTGTGGGTGATTCAGTTCTAATCATTGAAAATTTAACACAGCTGTTTTTCAGAAGAGAAAAATCTTTACCATGTTATTAAATTCTAAAAGGAATTTATTGCATATGGGCACTTATCTGTTTAGTTGATAAATGTCTTTAAATTCAGTTTTATAGAAAAAAAGCAGAACCTTAGTAATGTGACTATTGATTTTTTTTTTAAGCTAAAGCTGATGTATGTCTTTGGGAGGAAAAATTAATACATACAACGTTACTTACAAAGGCAGTATTTAGAATATTAGAGGAATGGATAGGTAGCATGCTGAGAGCAGATATCCCTGTCTTCCTGATTTTAAGAGAGAAGCATTTCACTTAAGTATGATGTGATTTTTGGTTTTGGTAGATCCCCTTTATCAGATTGAAGAAATTCCTTTCTGCATTTTTAGTTTTTTGAGAATTTTTAGAAAGGATGTTGGATTTTGTAAATGTTTTTTCTGTGTATAGAAATGATCATGGCATTTAAAAAATTAATATGGTGAATTATATTGATTTTGAAACCAATGTTACATTCCTGGGATAAACCCCATTTGGTTATGTTTTATTCTTTTAACGTGTTGTTGGATTCTATTTGCTAAATTTTTATTTAGGAAGATTGTATCTGTGTTCACAAGGAATATTTGTAATTTTCTTCTTCTGTAATGTCTTTTTCTGGTTTTGGTATCAGAGTAATACTGGCTTCATAGAATGAGTTGGGAAGTATTCCTTCCACTTCAGTATTATGGAAAAGTTTGTGTAGAGTTTGTTGTATTATTTCCTCCTCAGATATTTTGTAGAATTCACCAATGAAGCCATCTGTCCCTAGAGTTTTCTTTGTATGAAGGATTTTTTACTGTAGTTCAGTTCTGTATTAGAGGGTTGTTCAGGTTATCTATTTCTTCCTGAGTGAGCTTTGGTGAAAGTTTGTTTCTTTCAAGGAATTTGTCCTTTTCACTTAAATGGCAAGCTTATTGATAGGAGGTCCATAATACTCTTTAAGGTGATATTTCCTCTCTTGTTCCTGACATTGGTCATTTGTGTCTTCCCTCTTTTTTCCTCATCAGTCTGGCTAGAAGCGTATCAGTTCTGTTGATTTTGTTAAAGAATTAATGTTTGGTTTCATTGATTTTTTTTTTTCTCTGTTGATTTTGTTTCAGTTTCATTGATTTCCACTTTGATCTTGGTCATTTCCTTTCTTCTGCTTACTTGGATTTAATTTGCTCTTTTTCTAGTTTCTTAGGGTAGAAGGTAAGGTCATTGATTTGAGACCTTTATTTTAATATAGGTATTGAGTGTAATACATTTCTTCATCAGTGCTGTTTTAGCAGTATTTTGCAAATTTTTGTTTAAATTTTCATTCACTTTAAGATACTTTCTAGTTTCTCTTTTAATTTCTGTGACCCTGGGGTTATTTAGAAAGTGTTACTTAGTTTCCAATTATTTAGTGGTTTCACAGATATCTTTCTGTTATGAATTTCTTTTTTTTTTTTTCCCCCTGTTATAAGTTTCTAACTTCATTCCATTGTGGTCTAAGAACATATGGTTTGAATTCTTGTAAACTTTTTTTGAAATTGTAATATACTTTTCAGAATATGTTCTGTCTTGGTAAATGATTCCTGTGAACATGGAAAAAAGGTGTGTGTTGCCTTTGTTGGGTGGAGCATTCTGTAAAAGTCAAGTTAAGTTAGCTCGTAGTGTTACAGTTTGCAATATCTTTGTTGATTTTCTGTCTAGTTGTTTTATCTATTGAGAATATGGTATTAAAACCTCTGTAATTGTAGGTTTGTCTATTTACCCTTGAAGGTTTTACTGGTTTTTGTGTCATGTTTTTATTGGGTGCATAAATGAGTAGGGTTGTTATGTCTTTTTGACCGATTATCTCTTTAAGCATAATGAAATAAATTTTTTTTAAAGTTTATTATTTTTAGTCATCTCTACACCCAAACTCATGACCCTGACTTAGATCAAGAGCGGTATACTCTTCCAACTAAGCCAGCCAGGTGTCCCAATGAAATAAACTTCTTAATCCCTGGTGATACTCTTTGTTCTGAAATCTATGTTGCCTGCTAATATGGTCATACAAAGTCTCTCTGACTAGTGTTAGCATTGTATATCTTTTTTTTTTTTATTTCTGTTTATATCTTTGTATTCAAAGTGTGTTTCTTCAGGGGCGCCTGGGTGGCTCAGTCGTTAAGCCTCTGCCTTTGGCTCATGTCATGGTCCCGGGGTCCTGGGATCAAGCCCCACATCAGGCTCCTTGCTCTGCGGGAACCCTGCTTCTCCCTCTCCCACTCCAACCTGCTTGTGTTCCCTCTCTCACTATGTCTCTGTCTGTTAAATAAAATCTTTAAAAAACAAAGTGTGTTTCTTCATATTTAAGCTGCTTTTCAAAGGCAGCTTATAATAGGGTCTTAACTTGTTTTTATCTAGTCTCACAATCTCTGTCTTAATAGGGTGTTGACATCATTTACATTTAACATGATTTTCTAATGAAGATTTTACACTTTTAGAACAGTTTCGGGTTCACAGCAAAATTGAGGGGAACGTACAGAGATTTCCCATATATTCCCGGTCCTCACACATGCATAGCCTCCCCCATCATCAGCATTCCCCACCAGAGTGTTAAAATTCATGAACCTATATTGATAAATCATAATCACCCAAAGTCCATAGTTTATATTAGCATTCTTTGGATTTGAACAAATATATGACATGTTATCTATCATTATGGTATGTATGATACACAGAGTATTTTCAATGTCCTAAAAATCCTCTGTGCTCCACCCCTTTATCACTACCCCCCAACCCTCCATAGCTACTGATTTTTTTACTGTCTCCATTGTTTAGTATTTTCCAAAACATCATTTAGGTGGAATCATACAGTACGTACCCTTTTCAGATTGGCTTCTTTCACTTACTAGTATGCATTTAAGGTTTCTCCATGTCTTTTCATGGCTTGATAGCTCATTTCTTTTTAGCATTGCATAATATATTCTGTTGTCTGGATGTGCCACTGTTTATCCATTCACCAACTTAAGGACATCTTAATTCTTTTAAGTTTTGATAATTATGAATAAAGCTGCTGTAAATATTCATAGGCAGATTTCTGTGTGGTCACAAATTTTTAGTTCCTTTGCATAAGTATCAAGGGCACAATCGTTGGAGTATATGGTAAGAGAATGTTTAATTTGGTGAGAAACTGCCAAACTGTTTTCTAAAGTGACTGTACCATTTTGCATGACCAGCAGTAGTGAATGAGAATTCCTGTTGCTCTACATCCTCGCCAACATTTAATGTTGTCAGTGTTTTGAATTTTGGCTATTTTAATAGATGTGCAGTGGTATCTCCTTTTAATTTGCTTTTCCCTCATACGACGTAAAGCATCTTTTCATATGTTTATGTGCCATGTGTATATCTTTTTTGGTGAAGTATCTGTTAAGGTTTGGCCCAATCTTTAAATCAGATTGCTGCTTATTGTTGAGTTTTTAAGAGTTCTTTGCATAGTTTGGATAACAATCCTTTATCAGATTTTTTTCCTCAGTCTGTGGCTTATCTTTTCATTTTTTTTTGACATTGAGTGGTTTTTTCCACAGAAGTTTTTAATTTTGATGAAGTCTAATTTACCAATTTCTTTCACGGCTGGTGCCTTTGGTGTTTATTTAAAAAGTCATTGCCATACCCAAGGTCATCTAGATTTTCTTCTATGTTGCCTTATAGGAATCTTGGCATTTTACATTTAGGTCTGTGCTCCCTTTTGTATTTTTGCGAAGGTGTAAGATCTGTATCGATTTATTATTTTGCATGTGGATGTCCAGTTTTTCCAGCACCATTTGTTGAAGACTTAAAAAAAAAAAAAATTGATTTTAGAGTGAAAGGGGGGCGGGGGGAGGGCAGGAGGAGAGACCTAAGCAGACTCTGTGCTGAGTGCAGAGGCTAAGACAGACTCAGTTGGACTATCCTGAGATCATGACCTGAACCGAAACCAAGAGTCAGATGCTTAACTGACTGTGCCACCCAGGCGCCCCTTATTGAAGACTTTTTACTGAGTTTTCTTATCCATGACGGTGAAATATCTATTTATATGGTTCTTCTCTGATTTCGCTCTTCAGAATTTTGTGGTTTTCCCTCATAGATATTGTACAGACGTGTTGGATTTACACTTGAGTATTTCATTTTGGGAGATGTTTAGGTAAACAATATTGTGTTTTTAGTTTCAAATTCTACTTGTTTGTTGCTGGTATATAGGAAAATGATTTACTTTTGTATATTAATCTTGAATTCTGCAGCCCTGTTATAATCACTTATTAGTTTGAGGAGTATTTTGTCATTTCCTTCAGATTTTCTACATAGATGATCATAATATCTGCAAAGACTATTTTATGTCTTAATTCCCTATCTGTATACCTTTTATTTCCTTTTCTTATTTCACTAGCTAGAACTTCCAGTATGATGTTGAAACAAAATGATGAGGGGACATTCTTGCTTTGTAACTTAGTGGGAAAGCTTCAAGTTTCCCACCATTAACTATGATGCTAGCTATAGAATTTTTATAGATAGTCTTTGTCTAATTGAGGAATTTCTCCTCTATTCCTAGTTCACTGAGATTTAATATGATTTTTGATATGGTTAGGTTTCACTCTGTTATCTTTCCATTTCCCCTTCCTCCCTTCTTTCCTTCCTGTCTTTTTTAGTAGGTTCTGTGCCCACTGTGCAGCTTGAACTTACAACCCCTAGATCAAGAGTTGCATGCTCTCCCGACCGAGGAAGCCAGGTGCCCCTAAAAAGTATTGAACACTTAACGGATTTTTGTGTCATCTTTGTGCAGGGGCCATGCTAATTTTCTCTGTATTATTCCAATTTTAGTATATGTGCTGCCAAAGCAAGCACGATTTTCTGTTTCTTCTGTTGTTTGTTTTCTTTCTCTCTTACTCTACCTTCTTTGGAATTATTTTTTTATTCCATTTTATCTGTTTTGGCCGTATTTGCTGTAACTTTTTTTTGATTTTTGTTTTACTTTAAGTGATTGATATGGGACATGGTCATCAGAGAGTCTGACTTATTTCCCAGAGGACACTAGATAACGTCTGGAAACATTTTTGATTTTCATACTGTGAGGGGTGGGGGTATTACCATCATCTCATAGGTAGAAGTCAGGGATGGTGCTGAACATCTTCCAGTGCACAAGACCTCCCACAAAAAGGCTTACGTTGCCCACAATGTCAGTAGTGCCAAGGCTGATAAATTCTTTTTTTTTTTTTTTAAAGATTTTATTTATTTATTTGAGAGAGAGAGAGAATGAGAGATAGAGAGCACGAGAAGGAAGAGGGTCAGAGGGAGAAGCAGACTCCCTGCTGAGCAGGAAGCCCAATGTGGGACTCGATCCCGGGACTCCAGGATCATGACCTGAGCCGAAGGCAGTCGCTTAACCAACTGAGCCACCCAGGCGCCCCAAGGCTGATAAATTCTGATTAGGGGTTTATAATATACAGATCTTTCTTGGCTTACAATGAGGTTATGTCCCACTAAACTCATTGCAAGTTGAATATGTCATAAGTCAAAATGTCTTTAATGTACCTAACCTACTGAACATCATGGCTTAGCCTAAACTACCTTTAAATGTACTCAGAGCACTTATATTAGCCTCGGGTTGGGCGAAGTCATCTAGCAGAAAGTCTTTTATAGTAAAGTTTTGAATATTTCATGTAATTTATTGGCTACTATACTGAAAATGAACAACAGAGTGATTGTAAATGTGTGGGTTGTTTACCCTCATGATTGTGTGGTGGCCTGCAAGCTGCAACTCACTGCTGCTACTTAGCATCACAAGAGGGCATTGTACCACATGTTGTTAGCCCAGGAAAAGATCAAGATTCAAATTTTGAAGTATGGTTTCTATGGAGTGCGTATCATTTTCAAACCATTGTAAAGTGAAAAAATCGTGGGTTGGATTGTCATAACTCAGGGACTAGCTGTATATCTTTAGTTTATCACAGTCTGTCTTTAAGTGATACCACTTATGTACAGTGTAAGAACCTTATGATAGATATTTCCATTTATCCTTGCCCGGACCTTATGCTATTGTTTCCATACATTTTACACTTGTAATAAACCCTGTAATACTTTATTATTTTTATTTAAATAGCCAATTATTTTTCATATACTAAAGATGGAGGTATTTATCTTCATAATGATTATTACTTTCATCAGTTTGTTTTATATCCAGACTTCCATCAGGTATCATTTTCCTTCTTTCCAAAGGATTTCTGTTAACATTTCTTGTAGTGTGGGTTTGCTGGTGATTAATACTTCGGCTTTTGCATGTCTAAAAATGTTATTTCCCCGATTTTTTGTGTGGTAAAGCACATGACAAATTTATCCTTTTAATAATTTATACATGTAAATTACAGTATTAACCATATGGGCATTATTGTATAACAGATCGCTAATGTCACTTTTGTTTTTGAAAATATTTTTGTTGGATATAGAATTCTAGCTTGACAGTTTTTTCTTCCAGTATTTGAACAGCGGTGCTCCAGTCTTCTCAGTTGCATTGTTTCCTTTTTTTTTTTTTTAAGATTTTATTTACTTATTTGAGAGAGAGTGCACACGAGTGGGGTTGGGGGGGTGGGGTAGAGGGAGAAGCAGACTCGAGCTCGACATGGTGCTCCATCCCACGTCCCCAAGATCATGACATGACCGAAGGCAGATGCTTAACAGGTTGAGCCATTCAGGCACTCCCACTTGAATTGTTTCTGATGAGATATTCAGTGTTATCCTTTGTTCCTCTGTGTGTAGCATGTCTTTTTTTTCCAGCCTAGTTGGTGCGAACAGGTGCTCTTCTTGGCCCTGACAGGCACTTTTCCTTCTAATCCTGTGGGATAGTTCTTTCTCCAATGCTACATAGTTTATTCACAGACCTGTGCTGAGTATTGCAGAGAACTCTCTGCAGATCTCCTGGGCTCTCTCTGTAATACCTTCCTTTTTGGTACTCTGTCTCTGAACTTCAGATGCCTTCATCTTCTTAGACTCTTGTTCCTGTCTCTTCAACTCATGAAGTCTTTTAAGCTCTGTCTTAGTTCACTTTCATCCTCCACAGCATAGGGACTTTTCCAGGATAGTAAGCTGAGGCAATTGTAGGACTGTTTGTTTTTTGTTTTGGTTTGTTTTAAAGATTTTATTTATTTATTTGAGAGAGAGAGACACGAGAGAGGGAAGGGGGAGTGGGAGAGGGAGAAGCAGGCTTCCCATGGAGTGGAGAGCCCGATGTGGGGCTCGATTCCTGGACCCTGGGATCATGACCTGAGCCGAAGGCAGACACTTAACGACTGAGCCACCTAGGCGCCCCCACCCCTCTTTTGTTTTACTTCTTTTAAGTATCATTGTCCTTCATTGCTTATTGTCCAGTGTCTGGAAAGCCATTGTTTTTGCTCTCATCAGATTTTTTTTTTTTTTTTTTTTTTTTTTTGCTTCTGGTAGAAGGGTGAATTCATTTCCTGTTACTTCACCCTTTTTGCAATTTATTTTAAAGTTTTATTTATTTGAGAGAGAGAGTGCGCATGTGCACAAGCAGGGGGGAGCAGCAGAGGGAGAGGGCGAGGGAGAAGCAGGCTCCTTGCTGAGCAGGGATCTTGATGCAGGGCTCAATCCCAGGACCCTGGGATCATGACCTGAGCCAAAGGCCAGACACTTACCCGGCTGAGCCACCCAGGTGCCTCTGCAATTTTTTTCGGTAATAAAATTTATGTAATATAATTCAGCATATTAAAGTGCAGTTCAGTGGCTTTTACTGTATTTAGTGTTGTACATCATAACTATCTTGTTCCTCAACACTTCCATCACCCTTAAAAATCCCATACCCATTAGTCATTTTCCATCCTATGACCCCTAGCACTCCCCAACAACCACTAATACACTTTCTTTCTCTCTGGGTTTGCCTATATCTGGACATTTCCTGTAAATGGAGTCATACAATATGTGGTCTTTTGTATCTGATGACTTTCACATTGTTTAATGTTTTAAAGGTTCATGCATGTTGTAGTACTTCATTCTTTTTTATGGCTGAATAATGTTCCACTGTATGTATGTCATCTTTGTTGGAGTGGAAGTCAGCTGCTGAATCCTTTTAACTATTTTACTATTTTTTCTCCCATGTAGTCCATATTTGGCCTCTCCAGGCGATTCTGATATGCTGCCAGGACTGAGAATGAGATTTAGAAAGTTAGTACTAGAAGAGAAGCAGCATTAGAATAGGATAAAGACTGGGGCGCCTGGGTGGCTCAGTTGGTTAAGCGACTGCCTTCGGCTCAGGTCATGATCCTGGAGTCCCGGGATCAAGTCCCGCATCGGGCTCCCTGCTCAGCAGAGAGTCTGCTTCTCCCTCTGACCCTCTTCCCTCTGGTGCTCTCTATCTCTCATTCTCTCTCTCTCTCAAATAAATAAATAAAATCTTTAAAAAAAAAAAAGAATAGGATAAGGACTTATCTAGAGTCTTTTTTTATTTTGTCTTCCTCCATCTCTTCTTTCTTTAGGTTATGGAAGGAATACCAGATCAGTAGTTTTAAAGATTGAGACTGGTTGCTTTTTGTAATATGTACTATTTCAGTAAATTGTAGAAAATGTAAAGGAGAAAATAGAGACCACCTATAATTTCACTAGTTAATACTTTGGCACATTTTTTACCAGCTTTTTTTTTTTTTTAATTCTACGTTTATTCATCATATCATCTTTAACATTCTGTTTACCTTACTATATTTGGGATTTACTTCAGTATGTGATTTTGTTTCCTGCTTTTTCTACTTAATGCATAAATAGTTTCAGATGTCATTATTTTTCAAGAAGTCTTACATGGCAGTGTATTTAAAGCTTAGAAACGTCTTATCAAACTGTTTTCCAGATTCTACCAATTTATACTTTAACACATTCACTAGCACTCATTCTTGAAAGGGTCTGTTTTACTCATCACGATTTCACCAGCATTGTAAATATTGTCTTGCCAGCATGTTTTGCTTACATTAACTTTTTGTTTCATCATGTTATTTTTCCTTCTTCTTCTTCTTTCTTCTTTGTTCTTCTTCTTTCTTCCTCTTCTTTCTTCCTCTTCTTCTTTCTTCTTCTTTCTTCTTTCTTCTTTCTTCTTCTTCTTCTTCTTCTTCTTCTTCTTCTTCTTTCTTCTTCTTTCTTCTTCTTTCTTCTTCTTTCTTCTTCTTCTTCTTCTTCTTCTTCTTCTTCTTCTTCTTCTTCTTTCTTCTTTCTTCTTCTTTCTTCTTCTTTCTTCTTCTTCTTCTCCTTCTTCTCCTTCTCCTTCTTCTCCTTCTTCTCCTTCTTCTTCTTCTTCTTCTTCTTCTTCTTCTTCTTCTTCTTCTTCTTCTTCTTCTTCTTCTTCTCCTTCTTCTCCTCCTCCTCCTCCTCCTCCTCCTCCTCCTCCTCCTTCTTCTTCGTAGGCTCCATGCCCAATGTGGGGCTTGAACTCATGACCCTGAGATCAAGAGTGGCATGTTCTACCAACTAAGCCAGCCAGGCACCCCTTTTCTTCATTTTAAAACAACTTTATGGAAGTGTAATTTACATACAGTATAAAGCATTTATTTTATGTGTGGTTCTGTGTTTTAATAAACAAATGTACCTGTGTGACCACCATTCCAAACTAAGGAGAACATTTTCATTCCCCACAAAAGTCCCCTTTAACCCTTTTGCAGTCATATCCTCTACCCCCATTTCAGTCAACTAATGATCTGATTCTGATCACTATATATTAGTTTTCTCTGTTCTCACGTGTCATATAAAGGGAATCATAACAGTATGTAGCCACTTGCATCTGGTTATTTCTCAGTATACTTTTTTTTGCGGACTTTAAAAATATTTATTATTGAAGTATAGTTGACACACAG